CTCATTTGCTTCTATGAAATTACCATAAAACAAGCCACAAAAGTGCACATCTACTTTCGTGAGTGTACTCTCTAGGTTTAACACTTTCATGAACTAGTATCAAAATTTAATTTTCATTGCAAATCTAACACCTTGAGATTATCACAGTCAATGGGCATTTAATCATGATTTTGACAACAAAAGCACTAAATAACTCAATCAAGATAACAGCCTAAAATACCCAAGGCATAAACTTCAAAACAACATCACAAACATAATACCCAAAACTTGCATTAACAAAACTTAGAATCCAATCAAAGATAAAGAGGTGGAGAGAAGAAAAACTCTTGTCACTAGAGCTTTTTCAGCCTCTCCATCTTTATCTCTATCGGCCTCCTTGTTGAGTCAATACAAGAGTGGATGAACACACACTATAATAGCCTACTCTAAAACAAGAAAAGAAAAAGATGAGAGCTACATTTGTTGAGGATTTGTGTCTTGCCTCAAAGGGTAAGACGCAACCCCTTTTGTCTTTCTTCTTTGCTCCAAGATTCTTTCTCTCTCTAAAACTAACTAAAACTAAAACTAAATCTCTCCAAAAGCTTCTTCTAAGACTAAAGGCTCCTCTACTTATAATCTTCAAGATTTCTCTCAATCTTCCATAAGAAGCTTCATTTTGTGCTGAAAAGTCAAAAAGATACAATTGAGTGATATAAAGTTGACCAGATTGATGTCTTGGACCCAATATGTAGCTGTCAAAATGTCATAAATGTTGCAAGAAAGAAGGATGAAAAGCCGTGCAAGTTGTAGATTTTTCCCGCCAATGTATTTGACGCGGTATCTGAAGCGAATTTCACTATCCAGCGTTGTATACTGCTAACACTCTTCTTCGCAAAATTCTCTGACGAGTATATGGCGCGATTATCCGACTTCACTCCCTCAATCTGACGTCATACTCAGTATCTTTTTTCTTGCAAAACCTTCTAGCGGGTATCCGGTTTGATATCTGACTCGAAATTCACTGTCCGGCTCCGTATACTTTCATCCAATCCGATGATGTATTTTTGTAAACGGCACCGTATTGTCCTTGCTCCTTCATCCCTACCAAAATATGATAAATATTAACAACTAAAAAGGATGAATTCACAAGTCTTCTCAATGTTACTCAAAGACATCAAATATTGCCAAAATGGTTACTCACATTATCTTAGAAGCTCAGAATTAACAATAAATAAACTAAAATATACATAAACTATTAGGTAAAACGGACACTTGTCATGAATCTCAATAATCAAATAAAATTGTAGGAAATTAAATAAAGGGATAATTTCAAAAACCTCTCCTCAGGTTTCTGATTATTTCACTGGCTTCTCTCCAAGTTTTGAAAATTACACTAACTTCCCTTGAAATTTATTATCTTGTAACATCTCGGTCCAACCAATAATTAAAAAGTGATATTAGGAGGTAGAAGATAATATGATTCCATCATTGCCTCTCATCTACTAAATTATTTAATTAATCTAATACCAGTCCAAACATGAAAAAAAATACTAGAATTTACTGCTTTTCATCAGGGGATTAAATCACATATGAAATCAAAAATAGTATATCATTCTATATATTTCACTTAATGTAAGATCCAAATTACTCTTTTCAGTTACAAACCCTTTGTCAAACATAATCAACAACAAATAATAAAAAAAAATTGTAACCAAAATATTTCAAAGAGCGAACTTTAATACCATAAAAATCTTAACAACTAGCCTTCATATGTTAACAAGAATATTTATGATGTTAAAGTTTGTTCTTTATAATATTTTGGTTGCAATTTTTTTGATTATTTGTTATTGATCATGTTTGACAATGGGTATGCAACTGAAAATAAGTAATTTGGATCTCGTATTAAGTGAAAAAAATGATATACTATTTTTTGATATTATATGTGATTTGATCCCTAATAATAAACAGCAAATTTTAATATTTTTCTTGAATATGATATAAAAAAAAAATGATATACTATTTTTTGATATTATGTGATTTGATCCCTAATAATAAACATCAAATTTTAATGTTTTTTTTTTTAATATGTGTGTTGGTATTAAATTAATTCAATAATGAGTTGGCACAAGGGGACTCCGTACGTAATCGATAATCCGTATATATTAGGGGCTGTTGTGGGTGGGGGAAGAGCGAGAGAGTGAGGGGACGAAGGGTTTCTTTTGTTGAAATCGCAGAGGATAGCGGTCGCAGAGAAGAGGAAAATGCCGTGCTTGAACCTGTCCACAAACGTCAAGCTGGAGGGCGTTGACACCTCCGCCATTCTGTCTGAGGCCACCTCTACTGTTGCCAAACTCGTCGGCAAGCCTGAGGCTTATGTTATGATTGTATTGAAGGGGTCTGTACCCATGTCATTTGGTGGAACTGAGCAGCCAACTGCCTATGGTGAGTTGGTTTCTATTGGGGGACTCAACCCTGATGTGAACAAGAAGCTGAGTGCTGCAATTTCCAACATTCTGGAGACAAAGCTTAATGTGCCAAAGTCGCGTTTCTTCCTGAAATTCTGTGACACCAAGAGTTCCAACTTTGGATGGAATGGGTCTACCTTCTAGGTTCCGTATTTGCAAATGTTGAGCTTGTTGACCACGGGGCTCAGAATTTGGAAAATATGCATCTTCAATGTTTGTGTAGTAGTACTTGTATTATGTTCCAAGCAGATTATGTTGATGCTCCAGAGCATCCATCTTTAGAGAAGTATGCAATTTAATATACTGGATATTTTGAGATCGGTTTGAACAATCACTAGATGCATCTCAATGCTGTTCAAAAATATGTGGCTGGTGAATTAATGCTACATCATGCAGATCTGAATGGAATTAGTTGATATTTAAAAAAAAAAAAAAAAAAAAATTAATTCAATAATGCAGTAGATGAGGGGCAATGATGAAATCAAATTTTTTTTCTCTCTCCTAATATCACTTTTTAATTATTCATTGGGCCTAAACGATACAAGATAATTAACCTTAGGGGAGGTTATATAATTTTCAAAATTTGGAGGGAAGCCAGTGAAATAGTCAGAAACCTCTGGGGAGGTTTCTGAAATTATCCCTTAAATAAAACCAAACCTTAACCAGCTGGTTAGCCCAACCACGGAGACATGCTTAATATTCTCCTTTGAACCCCGGCCCAAGGAGCCACCGGTAAGGTGCCCCTTTAAACCCAGCTTGGTAGCTGAGTTCTTCTTTTTCATGAACCCAAGCAGTAAAAGTGCATTGACTGTAAAATAATTAACTTATTTTGGAGAAGAATAACTCATTCTTTTCATGATATTTAGCTTTTCCGGACACATAGAGCTTCAATGGAAGGACGGCCTTTGAACTGCATCAGGGATTTTGTATTTGTCACAATTTCATGGTATAATGTATGAATTAGAACAACAGATATAGACAGTAAGACAATAACTTATAAAAATAGTTACATTTTAACGTCTGTTGAAAATTATGCCTTACAATTTGATATCATCATATCACCTACCATATAATTGGCTGTAAAACTCAAAGCTGAACATTGACGGGGTAATTCCTTATTCAATTCTGAAATCCTTCTCTTTCTCCATTTTTCTATGTAAGGTTTGGAGTCTCCCTCTTAAATAAAAAAGACAAATCAAAGGCTCCTTTTTTTCTTTTTCACTTCATGGGTGTATTGTTCCCGTTTTTGCTTTGTATTCTTAGATCAGATTCTTAAGTATATGCTTTTATCAGATTCTTCTTTTTCGTTTGGCTCAGAATTCTGTTTCGATATGGAAAAATCTGTACGAGCTCCAATACCAATTATTTAAAGGTAAAATATTAATATGCAAAAAATTGGAAAACATTTTATAGCTTTCTCATGTCTTTGAGTTATGAAATTTCACTTTATCGAATACAATTCATATTTTTAAGTCAATGGAATTACTAGTTACCCTCACTAACTCGTGATAAAAAAAAATTTCCAAATACTCGGTAACACCATATTTAGTACAAGTAATTGATAGGTCAACAATCAAATCAATATAGGACTGCTCAAGACAATGAAGAACAACATTTAAGAATAATAAAAATTCAATTTATCCTTTGTTTGTTTTAATTTTCAATCCAATCACATATAAGATTACTCATTTCTATTTTCTGTAAATGCTCAATATTTTAACTATGAATTGCTTAAGACTGGACAAAAATACACAAAAAGAAATCTTAACTTAGGTTGGCAGTTTCTTATTGAATATCATCAGCCATTATTTTATCAACTCTTAAGAATTAGTTGATTGGGAAAATTATTTATTATTTATTTTAGTTTTTTGCTTTTCTATCCCTCTACACACCCAACTCTCAGGTAAAAAATTTGAATCCTAAAGTTGAAAGTGAAGAGGAGTCTAAGAGGCCCCCTCTAACCACTGAAGCCGACTGCAGTGGTTATTTAGGAAGCTTACATTACTTTAAGTTAAATATTGCACACATAATTCCTTGAGTTTTGGGAATATTATCCAATTAATTTTCCCAAAAAATGTAATGCAGAAAATCAGGGCAAATTCAATCCCCTAGTATTTAAAAAAGAAAAAAATAATAAAGAAAGAGCTCTTTTGAAAATACAAAAATCACTTATCCTGAAAACTCAAAAAAAAAAAAAAAAAACAGAATAGAAAAATTAGGTTCGAAAAAAAAAAAAAACAGAAACAGTGAGATTGCTGGGCTGCTGGAGCAAACAGCTCCATTCATCCCAATGCAATTACATCATCATCCTTTTAATTTACATAGTAAAATTCGTACTCTTCGTTGAGTTGTAAATAAAGGCGCCTCAGAAAACGATGGAAGAGCAGTAAAAAGGTATTGAAGGAAAGAGTACTAAAGATTTTACAAGAACAGTAATCGTCTGGTCCAGAATTATTGCAAATTTGGAAGCCAAGAAACATCGACTAATTAACCTTGCTGAAATCTTTGTCTTTAAAATGGCCAACTCTCTAAATCCAACCCATGAAATGATAATGAGTTCGATCATTTTATCATATATTTTTTTCAGTTGCTCCTCAGTCGGTGCTAACCCTACTTGAGCAGCTAGCCAGTCCAAGTACTTATACTGCAAGAACATGCCCAAAGTTAACACTATTTTTGCAATAAAAAGAACCATGGCTTTATGTTCGTTAGCATTTCTATGGTATCCATCCTGGGATCTATTTTAACAGGGGTTGTGGTCTTCTGTCACACAACTTCTTATATTGACAAGTCTCCGAGAAAAATGTTTTAAAACATGAAACATGTGTGAATTGAATAGATTGAGTAATAAAAGTATAGCAATAAAAATTGTAACAAAAAATCATTTGAGTGTTAACTGCGCTTGAGTTTTCACTAAACTTCGCCTATATCTAAAAGCCCTAGACTTGAACTGTCATTGGCCGTTCCATGTCAGCCTTGATTTAGCAGACTCTTTCAGATGATCTTCAAATCATATGTTGATTTCAAATTGGTTGGAGCCAGCCACGGATTTAAGGGGGGGCTGGTGGGGGCTTAAGCCCCCCCCCAAAGCCGCCGGAAAACACGATTATATGCTTGTACACTTGAACAATTACATGATTGTGTTTTAGAAGGAATAGGTACGTACAAGGAAAGTGAGTGTACTGTTTAACGGCTTGACATTGACATGGTAAGGATCCCGTTGTCTAAATCAATGAACCTTACATTCTCCAGAATTTCGTTGTCTATTGTAAGTATATGCAATTAGCTCCGAGTAGTATTACCTATCGTGCAAAAGCACGCAATCAGATTATTCTAAAGTATAGCATTCTTTGGTGCTCAAATTCTTTGACAAGTTTTGATTGTCAACATTGTAATATATTAGTTTTTTAATTTTTATTTTGCCAATTTGTTTTCTAAAAATATTATTTGCATTGAAGTCATCGATATAATTTTTTCAAACTTTCTATTGAACTATTTGAATAATTTATAGGTCAAAGTCTAACATATTATAACATTGATACACTCCTGATATCATGACATTTAAGTTATAAAAATAAAATTTTTTATACACAACTACAAATATGACTATTCCAAAGAAAATCTATGAATTTTTTATCTTTTTTTAATTGAAAATAGTTATATATTTGTTTTTGTACAAGTGACATATTGGAGCATCTTCTCATAATGTGCAACTTAGGTGGTTTGTGATATTATAAGATATTTAATCAAATGTTATTTCTTGTCTTAATTTTAGTTATGACAATGTTATATATTTATGAAATAGACATACTTTTATAATTAAAGTTAATATTTAATATTTTAAGATGTCATATATTTAAATAAATGAAAATTATTTTAAACATAATATATTAAGGTAATTTTGTTCGAAAAAATTTTGGCCCCCCCAAGGAAAAAATCCTGGCTCCGTCACTGGTTGGAGCTAAATTCGTCTGAATACTTGATGGATGGATGTCTTTGCATTGATATGCACGTATTCTTTCTTCCGGCATTCAAGAATTTCTTTAGTCAACAATCTCCTTACCCCCTCATCCTTTAGCTCTTCCATGGGAGAGGCCAAATGGTGTCTCACCCTGAATTTTTTTCCCTTTAATCTTTGTTTTGTTATAATTTTTCTTGCAAGAGTTTATCCTCTATTAGAATTTTTTTAGTGAGTTTCGCATCTCTTATGATTTTCACTTTTTGCTTAGGTGAGAGTTTCCTCTCTCCTAGTAAGAGTTTTTTCATTATTGTTGTTATCCATTTTTTTTTCCCTTTGTTCTTGTTAGATTTAGATCTCTAAGTCTCAAATCAATTTGGTCAAATTTAAAATTTCTCGTGGAACCCATTGGATCTGCTCGTAGAGGATATGCATCCATTATCCATGGGAGTTGTAGAGATTTATCTATATTTTTAAGAAATTTTAGAATTTTACTGTATTATCTTTTTGTTGATTTTCCCTCCCTTCAATCTATTGTATTTGTTGCATATTTTTCATGTATTTGCTGCCACCAGAGCAACTTTATCTAAATGATTGAAATTCTCTTGTTTATTAAGAAAAATATGCAAATACAGACAAGCATATATTAAAGCATATGAATGGGTTTTTTTCTTAACTTTTTTTTAAGTGGAAGGTTTTGAATTTAGAATCTTCTATTTACAATTCCTCTCATCTTACCATTCGACTTAACCCTCCCTCCCTATGAATGGGTTATATTTGCTTGAGTAGCATCTTGACACAGCTTATACTAATTACAAGGATTAACTCCACTTTACAACCTTAAACTCATATAACTTTCTCATTTTACACCATAAACTTCAATTTTGGACACTCTCAAGTTTATTCCATTTAAATTCAGTCAATAATTATGCTCACAAAATTAACGATATAAAGGATGGTGAAAATTAATGACAATGTATCATTTTGTTCTAACTATGATTCCTTAACTTTGTTTTTTAGCCTCTTTCAGTACATTATCATTGATTTTTATAGTCACAATCACTAATATTATTAACAAAATTAACGAGATAAATGATGATGCAAATTAATGATAATATTGTTTTATTTTTGCTACAAGATTTTAACACTTTTTGACCACTTTCAACACATTATCATTGATTTCTTATACCCTTTATACCGTTACTTTTACTAAAGTAGCCATCGATTGGATTTAAATGGGACAAACTTAAGAATTTAGGATACAAAATGTTCAAATTGAAGTTTAAGATGTGCACTGTACAGGATATAATATATATATATATATATATATATAGACAGACACACACACACTCACTTTAAGGTAAAGCATGTTTTCAAAAGTTTTCTTAATAATTCAAAATAAATGGGTATTGATAGGTGTTCTTCATAATTTTATGCAAATTATTGTTTTACATGGAGAGCTAACAAATCGTAAGTTTCAAATGCATCGTATCGTTTTTCATTTAATGGAAAAAAGTGCTCTAAAATGCAGTTCTAAAAGTTTACAAGAAAGATTATTAAAACATTTGAAGGCTGGTGGCAAAGGTTGTTCTATCTGCAAATATTCAAGAAGACTTGTATACCCACATGCTTTGATTAATTGATTGTAACTTTTTCAAATATACAAATAATAATCTAAAATTGAAGAGGTATTTAAAACCCTAGTTTAGAAAATGTGTCTACCCATATATTTTGTTGTTCTACAAGTGGTTTAAACTTTAAATGTTGGAAACAATATATATTTCTAATTTGTTGATGAATGGTAGTGTGGAATCCAAAACCGTTTACTATAATTTAGTTGGAAGTTAAAATGATTACTAGCCGTTACCGTATCATCGGCCGTGAGAAGCCTGTGAGTATAATGCTTAGGAATGCCGGTTTCCTCCATAAGCCGATAGTGTTCTTCAACATCGGCCATCATCTCTTCTTTCTTTTTTTTCTCGAAACGATAATTGATTGTATTACTTGACAAAAGATTTACAAGTACGAGCAAAGACTCGAATGAACTTTACATGCGGCTTTACTTGCCACTAAGGAAACCAATGTTCCTCATCTAGAATAATGCCCAAGGCATATTTACTAAGCTTAGTGCTTAGTTGATTGTTATCATTATGAACTAGGCAAAAGGAGCACTTATGAAACAAATCTCTGAGTTGTAAAATATCGTCCACAACAGTAGCCAATCTGATATCGCTTACACCTGCTGTTCGAACCTGATTGAGGAGCTGTCGGTTTGGCACTTGAAATTGCACATCCCTGAATTGCAAAGTCGCAGCTTTACACATTGCTAGCTTCAGTGCAGTTGCTTCGTCTAGTAGTCCTGAACCTGAACTGCTTTCTCGTAGTGTCCAACCTCTTTTTGCACCTTGATTTCCTTCCTGCAAAGTAATCCCAATACCGAAGCAAGACTTTGTCATATCTCTAGTTATTCCTATCCTCAATATCAAGCACCCATGTTCAGGATTTCGCTGCTGATTCTGTTGATGTAGAGCTTCTGTTTCATCTGTGCTCATACTAGTTCCCTTCCTATCTATTTCCCCAAGTTCTAACCATTCTTGGTGCGCCTTCTGGATTGTCTTCCATGGATGACTTTCCTTACCATTGAACTCCTTCTCATTTCTGTCTTTCCATATCTGCCAGAGAATATGGACTGATAGAGCAATATGTTGCCATCCTTCAGCTCTGGTTCTTGCATCTAAAATTTCGATCCACCATCTTTTGAAACAGCCTTGGTGTTCCATCATACCTTCCCATTGAATGGGGGCCAGCTTCCATGTCTGTTTAACTTTGCTGCAATTCAAAAGGGTATATTCAATAGTTTCCCTGTCTTCTCCACACCTTCAGTTTCCATAAGTCCTTCCATAACCTTTGGGATTGATTTTCCAGACTTGTAGAACCCTCTAGCTGGTTCCTTTGCTGCCTGATATCTTTGTTCATAACCAGTAGCTTGTACCCTGAGCTGACTGAATAATGGCCACCAGCCCCTTTTATCCAAAAGTTTGCATCCTCCTTTCCTGCTAAACTAACAGGGATTGTCAAGATAGTTTCTGCATCTTTTTTATTAAAGTGTTTGAAGACTAGATTTCTGTTCCATCTTTTCTGGCAAATTAGCTCATGTACTTGCTGAAGTGCATTATCAGAATTTCTCGGGGTTGTCACTCTTCCATCAAGTGTATCCGGAATCCACCTATCTTCCCAGATATTAGTTTTCCTCCCATTTCCTATCTTGCGTCTGGTTCCTTGTTCCACCAACTCCCGGGCCCCCATAAGACTCCTCCAAATCCAAGAAGGAATAGATAAGGTTATCTGCCGCCTTCCTGATAAGGTTGGATAGTCCCTCAGAGCACAGAAGGAATAGATAAGGGGATAGAGGGTCCCCTTGTCTAATTCCTCTTTTTGGAATTACAAACTCTTTAACCTCCCCGTTTATATTAAACGAGTACGACACAGACTTCACACACTCCATAACCCAGTTCCTCCATTTACAGTCGAAGCCCATTTTTTCCATTATTGCCTCCAGGAAACTCCATTCAACTCGATCGTACGCCTTGGACATGTCAAGCTTCACTGCCATAAACCCATCCTTACCTTGTTTCTTGTTTTTTAAATAATGCATGTGCTCATGAGAGACCATAATATTATCAAGAATCTGCCTACCAAGAATGAAGGCAGATTGATTTTTACAAATGCAACAATGCAAGACACTTTTGAGCCTGTTTGCTAAGATTTTAGCTATCACCTTATATAAGGTAGTGCAAAGACTTATGGGTCTGAATTGCTTTAGAGATGTAGGAATCTGCACTTTGGGAATTAGAGTGATAATAGTATGATTAACACTCTTTAGGAGGTGGCCAGTATGAAAAAACGTCTGAATAGCCTTTATCACTTGTTGTTTGATGGTTGTCCAGAATTTTTGGAAAAAAGTGGTGACATACCATCAATCCCAGGGGCTTTTTCTGGATTCATAGAGAAAATTACAGATTTTATTTCTTCTTCCAACACTGGTTTTAACAGGTTTCTATTCAATTCATCAGTTGGTATGGGGAATACCATGCAAAACCTCATTTAAGTCCCCTCCCTCATTACTGTCCAGCAAAATCCTATAGTAACCTGCTATTTCAGTACTCAACTCCTCCTCACTCTCTGTCCACGTCCCATCCTCTCTCTGGAGTTTATGCAAGCTGTTTCTCCTTCTCTTTCCCTGTACAGATGCATGAAAAAATTTTGTATTTTTGTCTCCTTCCTTGAGCCATTGTATTCTTGATTTCTGTTGCCAGTGCTTCTCTTCTTCCTTGTAAGCCTTACTTAACTCTTTCTTAAGGGCAGCCCTACTAATATTTCTAGAGTTCCCTCTAACTTCTTTCAAGTCGCATAGCTGCTTTTTAATGAGCTCAATCTTGTCCCTAGAGTTAGCTTGGAAGTTGTTCTTCCATTTTAGGAGAGCTACACGGCAGTTCTTAATCTTTGTAGCCACTTGATACATCCTTGACCCCTCCACCTGCTGTTCCCAAGCAATCCTGATTACCTCCCCAATGTCCTCTCGTTTTAACCATCTTTTATCGAAAAAGAACCTGTGTTTCCTTCTGCTCGAGCTCATCATTGTGTCGAACATCAGGATGCTATGATCCGAGGCATAAGAATCAATATGCCTGCAATTGACCTTATCAAACACCTGAAACCAGGGGTAGGTGCAAAGACCTCTATCCAACCTTTGTTTGACTTCTCCCTCTTCCTCCCAATTGTTGCACCAAGTCCACGGATGACCAATAAATCCAATATCCAGCAATTAATAAAATCTCTGAAGTCATGAAAGGATTTCTCCTCTCTACGAATCCCTCCCCACTTTTCGTCATTGGAGACTAAATCATTAAAATCCCCAGCTATCATCCATCTATCTCCCCACAATCTTTTCCGATTAGCTAAGACTTTCCATTGTTCTTTTCTAATCTGATGATCACAGCTCGCGTAAATTCCTATAAACCACCAATCAGTATTAGCTTCCATATCCTCCACGTGAGCTTCAATGGTAAAGGAAGTCATAAGGACCTCAAGAATTTTCACCTCATCTTTCCAGAAAAGAGCCATACCTCCTGCCTTATGCATAGCCTCAACCACCACCATTTCTTCAAATCTTAAAATGTTTTTCACTTTTTCTAAATATCTAGTCCTATTTTTGGTCTCACTTAAAAACACTAAACTTGGAGAGAAGAGGTTATTAACCTCTCTCAACTGGGGAACTGTCAAGGGGCTCCCCACTCCTTGGCAATTCCACACCTGGACCCTCATTTACCCCCTGGGGTCCTTATAGGGAAGGACCCTTCACCCTCTGCCCCTAAATCCTCTGAACCTCCAACTATGTCGAGCTTACTCTTTTTCTTTTGCAGGTCTTCACCCTTATCAATATCCAAATCCACTTCCAATTCATTAATTTTTCTCTTCCCAAGGTTTTTCAGATTCCCCAGATTAATACTGATCCCTTTTAAAGCCTGTTTACGTTTACTAGGAGCTCTCAGAGGTCTCTGAGCCCTTCTAATATGCTTCCTAACAACCTCTTGCTGCTTAGTGATGCTCACATCAACTACTTGCATGACCATAGGCTCATTTTTTGCCTCCTCAGTGTCAGCCTGCACCTCGAAATGCATCTGCTGCTCCCTCAAAATAGTATCTCGTTCTCTATCCACTTCCATGAGCGGTTGTCCAACCTTTTCCTTCCCCGCCAGCTCTTCTTCATTCTTTGTTAACCCCTCTTCTGAAGTGGACATAGGGACCTCTACCCTCACTCCTCCTATCTGGCTAGGGAATGGTAAGGTATGAGCGGGTGTAACTCTCGATGCCTCTCTCTGACCTACTACCAACTCCTGTCCCCTATTCCTGTTACTCTTCTCTGCCAGTCCTTTATTGCTCTCCACCCCCTGTATATTGGGAAGACTCTCCCCCCTCTCGATCTCTACCCATTCTCCCTGCTGGTATCTCCAGTGCTGACTTGGAGTATTAACAAAAACCCCTGTTTGGTTTTTCTGTGGCCCCATTTTCGCGTTCCCATTTCCCGCCCTCATCCAGCTCCCATATTCGTTATCCTTTTTCCCTTCAATCACCCCTCCTACCATCCCGCAAGATCTCTCACTATGTCCTATTCTTCCACACCTATAGCAAAAATTCGGGCATCTCTCATACTTAAATTGAACCCATTTAGTCACACCAGCCACCTTAATAGAGGTGCCTCTTAACAGGGGTTGATCTATGTCGACCTGAACAGCTAACTTGAGGTGCCTACCCTCTTTTCCTCCTGTTTGGGGTATAATGACATCCCTAACCAGATGAAAAACAGAGCCTATCTTCTTACCAATTTCCTTAGAAATGCAATGGACAGGAAGATTCCAGACTTGCACCAATAATGATGCAGTATTAAAGGCTTTAACATCATCTTCTATCCCCTCATACCATTTATTCATCACTAATAACTGGTTATCCAAAATCCAAGGACCTCCCTTAACTATTCTATCCCTATCACCCTCCTTAGGCAAAAAGAATTGAAACAGGTTCGGTCCTAACTCCGCAACAATCATATCTTTGGGGTATCCCCATGCAGCAGTAACAAAGTTCTTGACTCCTGTATAGTTGGCTATCTTCTCTCCCACAATCTTCCCTAGCAAGCTGCCTTGACATTCCTTTATACCTAATGTTAACTCCTCTGTTCCAACCTCAGTAACCTGCATTTCTTTACTGGAGAGGGTGAAACCTTTCAGAATATCCGCTATCTCCTCAGCCATTGGGCTTGAAAGGAGGTAGAGATGGTAAAATTCTCACACACACACGAAACTGAACAGAAACCCGATAACCCCAAACTGGGAGATTAAACAAATCTGTTATTCTCAAGGTAAGACACAGAAAAGACAACGACAGACCAAAACAAGATGAACCTACCTCTAATGCACCTACATTACCAAACAAGGTAAGAAGAGACAATGTCCGTGAGCTGACCTGCCAGTGAAAACCCACACCATTGATGCATCGTCTTCTCCCTTAGATCTGGAACCTCCATTTGCAGCAGCTTTAATGGAACCCCATGATGTAGTATTATGGGTGTCAAGTACAAACTGCTCCTCAGAATAGTGACACTTCCATCCTACTTGCTAAAATAGGAATCCGACACAGAACCTTCTACATCAAAGTGGAAGTGATGAGAGATTTGTCTGAAAGTGAAAAAGGTTGAGTCTTTTAATTCTTTATTGCTACTCAGTAACTTTTTAGATCTTCCACAATGGAAAGAAAAGCTCTCTTTTTAGAGAGAGAAGGTCCCCTACAAGACATGGGCCACCCATTTGGCTTGTAATTCCATCATACCAAAATTAAGGGTCTATTTTGATAAGTGACTAATTTACGTAATAATTGTATGACATTTGATATTATTTTTAGTCACTTTGGTTATATTATTGGAAGAATATGAATCATTTTGGCTATAATTGGTGAATAAATGTTTTTAAGTGATTAAATGAGGTTTTTATCACTTTTTACTTGGATTTTGTGTATTTTGACAGTTTTGACACATTTTCGTATTTCGGCTATAACTTGAGTTACAATGATCGGATTGGGATGATTCTTGAACCCATTTGAAGATAAGAGATATATCTACAACTTTGGTGAAGACATCTAAATCCAGTTTGAAGGTTTTCCAGGTCAAAATGCCGAATTACAATAGCAAATTTCTACTGGTCGAAACTGGAACAGGGCAATGAGCAGGCAAGGGTATTTCAGTCATATCTCAGCCTACACAGATCCAAATGAGGTGATTCTTGATGCATTAGAAAGATAACTCAAAAGGCTACAACTTTCGTGTTTTAGACATGAGCTGGTTCAGCCTCTAACATCAAGAAAAGATTGGTTGAAGTTGGGCCAAAAACAGAGCAAGTGATCCACACTCGGATCCACTATTCATCCGAACCCTCTGTTGTTTCTGGGTTAGTGGATCCGAGCTCGGATCCATACGGATCCGAGGTACTGTAGCAGCTCGGATCACTGGTCAGAAAAGGCTGCTCTGTACGCGTAAAACTCAATTTCACCTCCACCAACTCACATTGGATGCTAGACATGCGAGAAACATTCCCAGCTGTAAAAGGGAGATGTAATCCTCATTTCTTGACCACCTTTCATCATTAAATAGCCAAATGCATTGCAAAAAAGGAGATGGGGAGTTGATAGCAGAAAAATAGAGAGACATACGGGAGAAGCTTGAAGTTGCAGAAATGTAGCTCTTTCATCTCCCTAGTGTTAGTTTAGCTTAGTATAGAGTAGTGTAGCTTTCCATTCTTGTTTATTATCTAGATTAGGATGAAGATGGAGGATGAAGAAGGCAAGGAAGAAAGCTCATGTGACAAGGGTTGTATTCCTTCCAAACTCTTTATCTTTTGTATTTGATTCCAAGTTTAGTTAATATACAAGTTCTGGATTTTGTGTTCATTATGTGTTTCTAAAGTTTATACCTTGGGTTTGGTTGAACTTTCTATAATTGTTAGTGTTTATTATTTGGTTATTTGACTGCTATGATTTGAGCAAGTTATTTAGCACTTTGGCTTCTTAAATCATGATTAATCTGGTACCATTGATTGTGATTATCTAAGGTGTTGTTTCTGCAATGGAAATTGAGATTTAACACTAGTTCAAGAAGTGCTAAACATAGGGAGTACACTCACGAAAGTAGAGGTGCACTTATGTGGTTTTTAGTGATTCATTTCATGTAATTTCATTGAAGAAATGAACTTGTAGCTAATTTCATAACCATGAAAATAGGTATGGATTAGTTATGAGTATAATTGATTCACTACGAAAGTAGGATTCAAATGCATAAGGAAATTACACCATAATTAGCCTAAATGTAGTAATTAATGATCCAAATATAGCACTTGCATGAGTAGTTAGGGATACCACAACCTAAGGAGCTTTTATTTGTTATTTTGTATAATTTGAGTAGGTAAAATTTGTTATATTTCATTGATAGTCTAAATAATAGAGAAGCTTTAGTAGTACCGGTAATTGCAATCTTCCTTGTGGGATCGACCCTTAATACCCTATACTCGCTCACGATTCGTATACTTGCGATAAATCGCGTGTGGGGTATTTAGGAGTTTATAAATGTAAAACTTGATTAGGATGAGCTTAATTGTATATGTATACTCCGCGCACGTCAAGTTTTTGGCGCCGTTGCCGGGGAAGATTTGGCAATATCGGTGTGAAGAGTAACTTTATTAGTTTAGACATTTTATTAATTATTGTGTGAATGTTATTTTCTGTCATTTTAGAATTTTTTATGTGTATGTGTTTTATCACCTATTCTTCTTACTAATTTTGCTCTTAAGTTGTTTAAAAGCAATTTTAGGTGATGAGAAGGGTAGGACAATTTGGAGGACAATGCTTGAGAAGTGGAAGATTGGTAATGGATGGTTACCAAGTGCAAAGCTCCTTTAATAGAGGCAACCAAGAATTTACTGAATGTATGTCTTTTGAAGATGGTTTAAGGTGCTTAAAGGCTAAATTTGATGTTATGATGTTACAAGTTCAAATGGACACCATGATGCATGAAATTGAGCAGAGGAGGAATGTTAATGTTTTTAATTCTTATCATGTGATTTGTGACTTGTGTGGAGGTTATCATGCTACTAATACATGTATGCAAGCACAAAATATGGATTATTATGATGAATTAGAGCATTACAATCCTTGTTTTGATCGATATAATGCTAATTTGAGCAATTCTCCTGCTTATGGTTGGAATAATCAATGTACTTATAGTAATTCTTCATATTTTTATGATTACCAACCTGAATGTGTCCAATATGAATCAAAACCATCTTGGGAGTTGGCAATTGAAATGGTAGCTAATGATTCTAAGCCATCTTGGGAGTTAGCTTTAGAAAAATTAGCTAATGCAACTTCCAACCGTTTTGATAGGATTGAGGAAAGGTTAGATGAATTAGCTTCTCACTTTGGTGATATACATGAGCAATTGAATGCATTGTGTGAAGTTATTTCCTCTAATAATGTGCAAAATGATCCTAGCATGAATGATGGGAATGTTGTATGTGAAAATGGGTTGCATTTTGATGAAAATGATGAATCTCAATTGTGTTTCAATGAGCAAATGTCCATTTCACATGATAATATCTTTGGAACTAACTTTGAGCCTCAAGAGGTGAGTTTTAATGACTCATTTTTCACCCCTCTTGAGGAGTGCAGTGAAGGTATAGGTTCTAAAGGTATTCCTGCCCAAGATACTCTCATGACAATTCCTTTGGTAAGTTCTCAAGTGGTGTATATTCAAGGTAATATCTATGAAACACTTGGGATAGGTAAGTCACTTCCATTTCTCACATCATTAGTTCATGTGGATTTTTCTATTAAGTCACCTTACAATGATCCACCAAGGCCTAAAATGGTGGATTATTCGTTAACTAAGCCTCCTTGAAAAATGAGGTGATATAGTCAAGCTATTGACTTTAAAGAAGCGCTTATTGGGAGGCAACCCAATGCTTGTTTAAGTTGGTGTTACTTTGGAGTGATTTTATGTTTAAAGTATAAGTTTGAGTTATTTTGTTATTTTTCATTTGTAGGTTTTGGAACAAGATGCAAAAGTGACCAAATGAGGTGAAAAAGGCGAAGTTTGATCAAAGATCTCAATACCTCAAATTCAGTAATTATGGTTTTTGATGCATTAAAGAGGTTTAGAATGCATGTTTAGATCATTTTACATGTGCGTGAATGATTTATTTTGACATAGAAATGATCTAGGGTGTATTTTGAAGAATTGAGGTCAAACTGAAAATTGCAAAAATTCTGCAATAAGTGCAGATTCAATGGATCCAAGGCCTCGAATCCATATGGATCCAAGGCCTCGGATCCACTTCTGCAATCAGAGAAAAACTTCGAGCTTCTTGATCCGAGCTCGGATCCATATGGATCCGAGGCCTCGGATCCACTTCTGCAATCAGAAAAAATTTGAGCTTCTTGATCCGAGCTCACTTATCATGATCCGACATCGGATCCTTTCAAAAACGACCTCGGATCCTTTCCAAACGAAGCCTCGGACCACTTTTCTTCATTCTTCCCTCTTTTTCCTCCTTCAACTCCACTTTTCTTCTTGTTGGTTGCAAGCTTTTATTCTTAAGAATTGTATTTTTGTTTTTTTTTCAAGGTGCATTAATTGAAGTCTCCATTCTTTCAAGTAAAGTTGGAAATTCATCACATTGCCATGGATTCGGATCGCGCAAGTTCATTAGGGGAGTATTACTTTCTCTTATTTTCGTTATTTTTCCTTTCTCACATTGAGGACAATGTGAAGTTTAAGTGTGAGGGAGGAAAATATTAAACTTGCATTTACTTGCCATGTGATGATATTTTGTGGATATAAATGCTTAGAAATATTGGAGTTATGTTTGAATTATTTGCCATGTGGATAATTTGCCTGAAATTGGGTTTGTTGGCAGGGAGTTTTCTTCCATTTATACGGGGAAACTCCGTCAAAATTTGTCTAACATCTTGTCCAATATGTCACTATGGCCCAAAAGTTCTTCAAATTTTTGCATTTTCATTCAAAAAGGGCTAATTTGTTCCAACTTTAAATGTTTTTATTCTTCCAATTGTTGAAACTTTATGTGTATTTTGGAAGGTTTAGTCCTCATTTAACTTGGAAATAGTTATTATGCAATTAGAATTTTTACATTTTAGAAAGTATTTTTGGTAAAGTGAGGAAAATTATGCCTATAATTTTACATGTTTAATGAGATTTCTTCTCTTTACTTAATTTTGCAAGTAAGTGATTGACATAGTTGATAAAAGGTTATACTCCTCCTTTGATTAGTCTTATATATTTTCTAAGAGGGAATATCTATTTATTGTCCTTTAGTTTAAAAAATAAAAATAAAAAAAGAGAAGAAAAGAAAGAAAAAATTATTCTACTCCAATGATTTTTGTACCGAGTAACCGGGGGTTGGCATCTACAAATGTCGATTTTCGCGTAAAAAGGTACTTGAATTAAGAGTATGCATTGCAACTTGAATAAGTGAAATGTTGAGTAACCAGGAATCTTCACCTAAAAGTGTCGATTTTCGCGTAAAAAGGCATTCTCACTAATTAAGTAAAATTAGTATGAATAAATCCCTCTTAGATGTAAAATTTTGAGAAAAGGATGATTATAGGAGGAGGAAGGCTATAAATCGACTATGTGGGTTGCTTATTTGTGAAATTAGGTTAGGGTAAGAGATTAAGTTTAACTTGTTGAATTTAGGGTATAATTATCTTTCCTTTACTTGATATTATGAGTATTTAGTGTAAATTGAATAATTATATAATAATTATTTTCCAAGTCTTGAGGAATTAAATTAGACAAAGTGCATATATTGTTTCACCTCTTGAATCATTGCATTTGATTATGTGTGAATTGCTTGAGGACAAGCAATGATTTAAGTGTGGGGGAGTTTGATAAGTGACTAATTTACGTAATAATTGTATGACATTTGATATTATTTTTAGTCACTTTGGTTATATTATTGGAAGAATATGAATCATTTTGGCTATAATTGGTGAATAAATGTTTTTAAGTGATTAAATGAGGTTTTTATCACTTTTTACTTGGATTTTGTGTATTTTGACAGTTTTGACACATTTTCGTATTTCGGCTATAACTTGAGTTACAATGATCGGATTGGGATGATTCTTGAACCCATTTGAAGATAAGAGATAGATCTACAACTTTGGTGAAGACATCTAAATCCAGTTTGAAGGTTTTCCAGGTCAAAATGCCGAATTACAATAGCAAATTTCTACTGGTCGAAACTGGAACAGGGCAATGAGCAGGAAAGGGTATTTCAGTCATATCTCAGCCTACACAGATCCAAATGAGGTGATTCTTGATGCATTAGAAAGATAACTCAAAAGGCTACAACTTTCGTGTTTTAGACATGAGCTGGTTCAGCCTCTAACATCAAGAAAAGATTGGTTGAAGTTGGGCCAAAAACAGAGCAAGTGATCCACACTCGGATCCACTATTCATCCGAACCCTCTGTTGTTTCTGGGTTAGTGGATCCGAGCTCGGATCCATACGGATCCGAGGTACTGTAGCAGCTCGGATCACTGGTCAGAAAAGGCTGCTCTGTACGCGTAAAACTCAATTTCACCTCCACCAACTCACATTGGATGCTAGACATGCGAGAAACATTCCCAGCTGTAAAAGGGAGATGTAATCCTCATTTCTTGACCACCTTTCATCATTAAATAGCCAAATGCATTGCAAAAAAGGAGATGGGGAGTTGATAGCAGAAAAATAGAGAGACATACGGGAGAAGCTTGAAGTTGCAGAAATGTAGCTCTTTCATCTCCCTAGTGTTAGTTTAGCTTAGTATAGAGTAGTGTAGCTTTCCATTCTTGTTTATTATCTAGATTAGGATGAAGATGGAGGATGAAGAAGGCAAGGAAGAAAGCTCATGTGACAAGGGTTGTATTCCTTCCAAACTCTTTATCTTTTGTATTTGATTCCAAGTTTAGTTAATATACAAGTTCTGGATTTTGTGTTCATTATGTGTTTCTAAAGTTTATACCTTGGGTTTGGTTGAACTTTCTATAATTGTTAGTGTTTATTATTTGGTTATTTGACTGCTATGATTTGAGCAAGTTATTTAGCACTTTAGCTCTTGAAATCATGATTAATCTGGTACCATTAATTGTGTTTATCTAAGGTGTTGTTTCTGCAATGAAAATTGAGATTTAACACTAGTTCAAGAAGTGCTAAACATAGGGAGTACACTCACGAAAGTAGAGGTGCACTTATGTGGTTTTTAGTGATTCATTTCATGTAATTTCATTGAAGAAATGAACTTGTAGCTAATTTCATAACCATGAAAATAGGTATGGATTAGTTATGAGTATAATTGATTCAATACGAAAGTAGGATTCAAATGCATAAGGAAATTACACCATAATTAGCCTAGATGTAGTATTCAATGATCCAAATATAGCACTTGCATGAGTAGTTAGGGATACCACAACCCAAGGAGCTTTCATTTGTTATTTTGTATAATTTCAGTAGGTTTAATTTGTTATAATTCATTGATAGTCTAAATAATAGAGAAGCTTTAGTAGTACCGGTAATTGCAATCTTCCTTGTGGGATCGACCCTTAATACCCTATACTCGCTCACGATTCGTATACTTGCGATAAATCGCGTGTGGGGTATTTAGGAGTTTATAAATGTAAAACTTGATTAGGATGAGCTTAATTGTATATGTATACTCCGCGCACGTCATATTTGTCAGAAAAAATGTCAGAATTAACTAATGTTTTTGAACCCAAATCTTCTCTTCTTTAAAGGTAATTCTTTAATTCTACTGAAAATGTATGTCTAAAAGGGCAAAATAAATGGAAATTTTGTCATGTGAGTAGAACAGTGACATAAATATTACTATATCACTGAATATGTAGGGAAATTTAGCATAGTCTACTTTTTGAGCATAAGATATTTGGTAAAGAATCCTCATTTATATATTTATAATTCATAGTCTCTAGTTCATGATGCGTACATTAACGAATTAGAGGTGATTTGCACTTGTACCCTTTCGATATTTTTTTGAAGCATTTTGCCTCATCCATCAATCAAAATCAAGGCTGATGGTTCAATAATGTCTGAACTTCCACAATTTCCCTTGAACTAGGAACCTTAATTGCATTTTGGCCCCTGATAAATGTTATAGGTATTTTATACCTAGCATTCTAATTATTTTCCTTTTCTTAATTCTTCTCCTTTTCTCTTTTTGTCTTTCCTTTGTCTTATTCTTCATTTTACTTTTATTTTTTCGTCCATTCCTTCTTGTCACTTTTAAGCTATTATATTACTTTTAATAATTGATTTATTAAAATTCTAAAGTTTTAAATATGTAACAAAATTTTCGTTTCTCAATTATATATGCTTTGTAATACAAGTAATAAACAAACAACAACCTACAACAAGATTAACATCAGAGATTGCAATTAATTAGTAGTGGTGAAAATCTAAAAAAAAAGTTTTGAGAAAATAAAAGAATGACACAAAGAAAATTAAGAAAACTAAATGCCGTAGCATATGTAATTCTGAAATTAATTATTTTGATACACATATAAAAATTAAATTTTCTATTAATCAATCATTAAAATTAACATATCGCTTAGTAATTGCAAGAAATAATGGGAAAATTAGAAAAATACTAAAACGAGAGAGAGAGAGAGAGTAATAAAAGGGAAAAAAATGTGAATAAGTAAAATATCAAGGGTTATTTCATCCTTAAACATGAATTAAGGAGTAAATTGAGTATAAAATTCTATAAGGGGCAAAGTGTAACTAGAGTCATAATTGAGAGTAAATTGCAAGCACAAACTTAAGGGCTGTGTTTTAAAATTCGGACCCGACCGGTCGGTTCGACCGATTGAACCGGGAACCGGCCAAGTGTCCGGTCCGAGTCATGCTTAAAAATCGAGTAAGTAAAAACCCGGTCAAAAACCGGGTTTGACCGGAAAAATCGGGATTTTCCGGTTCAAACAGTTTTTTTAAAACAAAAAACTCAAACTTTTTCAATATTATGTTTTGATCCCTAGATTGTTAAAAATTATTAATATATCTCAAATATTTCATACTTTATCAATATTTTCTTAAAGTTTGGTATTATTTTTCAATTAAGTCCATAATTTTAATTCTAAACTTGTTAATGCTCATTAAATAATATAAATTGTTACTTGATTGTTCTAATTTCTTTGTATTTTCTTGTTAAATATATTTAAAACATCAAATATATATGAATATACCTTTATTAATATTAACATGTTATTAGGTATTTTACATATAATATTTTAATTTTTAAATAATTTTTATTTTTGATGTCATCCGGTTCAACCCCTATCGAATCTGGTTGAACCCATTGACCCCTGACCCCTGAGCTTGACCGAGTCGATACCCGGTCCGATTCTGAAAACATAGCTTAAGGGTACTAACATCCTTCATCCTAAGAGCGGAACTAGGGGAAAAGTGGGAGGGGAGAGCATGAAGGGGTTGGATTTTAGAAATTCATGCTTTCCCTCTCCCTCTCATAAAATTTTGAGAATTTCAAAATCTTCTACATATATTTAGATATTTGCCTTCCCCTCACCCCTTCCCCCAAGTTTTAGAATGTCATGTTTTCTCCTCCCAAAAGTTTGAGAATTTTCAAAATTTCCTATATATATTAAGCTATTTGTTCCCAAAACTTTTCAAAAAATTTAATTTTGACTCCAAAATTTACATATGCATTCATTTTTCCCCTTCATACTAAATTTTCTAGTTCCACCATTGCTTCATCCAATCATTATCTTCAACTATTAATTCGGGTGACAAAGTGCTTAGAAAATAACGTTAGGTGGTGAAATGCAAATTTCTCCAAACATTTAGCAGATTTACTGCAGTTAACCGAGGAAAGGCCAAAAGCAATGTTAGCATTAAAAACGGAGCACCTGGCTTGGGATTCCGACAAAAGAAAGTGTAGGAGCAAGTTGTGGAGGAAAGACGTGCTTGTACAATGGTCCAACACGATTTTCATCCACCATAACTATTCCATTTGTTTCCAAGAATGGAAAATCATATTTATACCTGTCAACAGATTCAGCAAGATTTAAGCAAAATACTGGATATGTAAAAGTATTGCATTTTCTTATCAAATTAAGAGGAAAAACTAAATACACTGATTGATTTCTACCTGGTACAGTGAATTATGACATCTGCAGCAATCAAAGCTCCATCTTGGAAAGCTACCTCACCATTTTCATGGCAATATTCTATCTGGTGGGCACCTGCAAAATTAGGGTTTGTACAGTAAGGAAGGCGTACGATCAAATGAATTTTCGACACACCTAATTGTATTGCTTCCGTATATTGGAACCACATCAGAAAAAAAACGAATAATCAACCAACTTAATCAGGTAACATTAATCAAATATTTTTGTAAGCACCTTATGATTTATATGCAATTAGTTCCTAAATCAAAATTTAGTTATTGTACCTTTGGATGCTGCCATACATTTTTGTAGGTCTCGAGTTTTCTGACTTCAACTTGTGGGCATCTTGATGAAACATGAACTTCTTTGGCTACCTTGGCAATGTCGAAGGCTATATCGAAGCCACTTGGCCCGTGACCAATCACAACTACAACCTGCAACATTTTCCAAGGGAAACAAATATATATATATATATATATATCTTTTGTAAGCACTTGTAGGAAGTCATTGTAGAAAATAGAAAATAGTAACAATGACTAAGCAAATTGTTCATTGATACCTGATCCTTGTAAGGCTCAGGAACACGATAGTTGTGACTATGAATTTGTTTTCCGGGCCACTTTTTAATTCCTGGCAATATTAAAGAAGTGAAGAAAAGTTACAAAATAGGAGTACCAATAGAAGCACCAAGTCAACGCTGCAGGTGCAGTTGTGCTTAAGGTAGTTATTCCACTGGTAATGTTAACCCTAATTTTTAGTTTTTTTTCCCCTTCCAAAAGTACATAAAGATTTCATTTAAAATGGCCTAGTCAAACACATTAGGCTCACAAAGTACTCTTACAAATTTTAATCATATAGTACTAAACTAGACTAGATGCCATCGTTCATCTGGTTGTACAGTTACATGCATCAAACAAATATTGTTCTCATATGTATGGTCCATCACCCATCCCCCAACCCCACTCCGGGAATCATATAGTACTAAGCTACATTATATGCCATAGTTCATGTGGTTGTACAGCTTTATGCATAAAATAAAGATTGTCTGTATTTGCATGTATGGTCCCCTCTCTCCTCAAATTATATAGTTACTAAACTACATTACGTGCCATAGTTCATATGGCTATGCATTAAACAAAATTGACTCTATATGTATGCTTCCCCAGTCCCTCCCCTCTTCAGTTTTGAAGGTGGTTTAGCTCCCTTCGCTTCCTAATGACTAGGGTTATTCACGCTCGCAAGCGGCTCTTATACGAGTTCGACTCGAGCTCGAGTTCGAACTCAAAAATATTACTCGTTGGTTCGAGAGCTCGATTATATATATATATATATTTTTTTTATTTTAATAGTAAAATTACATATATATTTCTAATATTTTATTATTTGTTAAAAAATTATTATTTTATTCATTTTTAAAAATAAAATATTTGTTATTTTATTTTTTTAAAATAAAATAATAATAATAATTTTTTATTTTTTAAGCTCGAGCTCAACTCGAATTTAAGTCGAACTCGAGTTCGAACTTGACATCTTGAGCTCGTTGAGCTCGAGTTCGAGCTCGAATTTGAGTTTCATAAAATTAACTGGAAGCTCGCCTCGATTAGGTCAAAAGTCGATTCGATTTGACTCGTTTGTACCCCTACTAATGACTCCGTTACATTTGTTCCCTTCCTCCATAATATAAGAATAGTTATAGTTTGTTGACGTTGACCCAAAAAAAACCCTCCCTCCTCCCCCTTTCCCAGTGGGAAGAATGAATACCTGGAGCATTTACTAATTTTGGCTGAGTGTTATGACCATTACAAACCACGACCATGTCGAAATGTTCTTCTTTCTTGAATTGATCATCGCCATTTGTTTTCGACTCAACAACCCACATACCATTCTTTTGCTTAACAGAAACGACTTCAGTATTAAACTGAATCAGATCATCGAGTCCAAAATCTCTAGCAAAATCATTCAAGAATTTGAGGACCTCCTTGTAATCAGGAAAACATAAATATTTACCATTTTTCTCGATTGTGAAGGAGTAATCTGTAAATTCCATAAGTTGCGTAGGTAGATTTGTCCGAAGTGAATCGTAAATGCTGCTATGAACGATTCTTCTATTAGGGTCGAGGCCAAGTGGATCAGTCTCGACTTCAGGATCGTACACCCACAAACCACCAATTTGGTTTGATTTCTCATAGACCACAATCTGCTGGCCTTCTTTTTGAAGCTCTCGGGCTGTCAAAAGGCCCGAAACACCAGCTCCGATCACTGCCACCTTCAGAAGTTGCCGTCCCATATATAATGGTACAGCCCTGCAGCTTATCGTATTAGATTAATTACTAATACTATAGTGCCAAGGTGTGTATATATATACACACACATCCATACACACACATATATAGTATTATATAACTGCTATTGTGTAGTATAGAAAACATATTTGTGAGTTTTGAATTTTTAACAGCTACTTTTTGTTCAAAAAATTCAAAAAAAGAGGGTTTATTTTAGGTGTCAAATGAAATCAATAACAAACTTAGAAAGTTTTATAAATGCAAGTTACCAGTGAAGGAGGCTGAGGTTGTTGCTCCTCTATCTTTTAAGGAATATAAATTTTAGTTCTTACAATTTTATAGAATTTTACATTAACTCCTTGATACAATTAGTTGGCATTTGCAATCGGAATTTAAAAAAAAAACAAAAATTAGTGGCGTACGTACATGAGCTTTAAGTTCTTCATTATTAACATTCTTTAAGATCAAAATTGAAACTACAACTTTTTAAACATACTTGGTAAATTTAAGTCGGAAAAGTATGACCAAATTGTGGTATCCATTTGCTCCATCGTTACAAGAACAAGAAAGAAAATGAGAGAATAGACATAGTTTTCAGGCAAATTTATTCACTACCAGTATACAATTTATAACATCTGAAGAGCAGTTTAGTTTTCTTGGCGCATATTATGATGGAATTCAAACACTAACTGCAAAACTGCTTTTTGTTTCTTGTGCTAAATTCACATCAAATTACAATTGACTTTGCAGTTAAAATTGTCACAAAGATAAGTACGAAAAGGCAAATCATTTTTATGTTGTAGATAAAGTTATATACAAGTTTTGCCTTTGAAAATGGACATTTCTATTGCCAAATCTGCAAGATATTTTTTTTCTCTTCATTTATGACAAATGTATCCTTGGCTTTCAAGTAATAAACACTTGAAGATATGGGTGTTCGTGTGATGCATGAAAGGAGTGGTTTTCTTTGAAAAGGGAGGACATCTAAAGCAACACACAGAGTAATTTTCTTACCCCGTAACTTGTGATTTCTTTGACACCAAAGGATGACGCGAGCGATGCTAACTCCCTGACCACTTCTTTGCCAAATTGCTATGATCTGCTTCTAGTACTCGGTAGACCTTCTGAAAATTTTTTCGAAGTTATTTAGCTCCTCGTTGAGGGCATGGATCTGATCCTTGCTGGAGACCTTGATGACAGTGATAGTATGATATAGTAGTCCCTTGAGCAAACTCTCTACCTCGAGAAGCCAAATCTTTGCCTTGATGAGCTAATCCATGGCTGCTAGCAATAATCTTGCAAAACACTCATGAATTTTTTATTGCATTCTTTATTATTATCCAGTTTGTCAAATTTTGTCCACACATGAGTACCAGCCTGTTCTTGAAGACTTGCGTATTAACAAAATGTAAACAACAAAAAAGAAAAGAATCATGGAAGTTAGAGAAGATAATTACTGAAAAGGGAACGAAAAAGCCATTCGGTAGCTTTGTCCTTTCGGCCAAAAACAAGATTAATGTGTTTAAAATGCACGCAAACGGGATTGATTCTCTCTGAAGAGGCGGGGTACCAAATTACGTTGAGTTAGTTACCATGTGATTGATGATTAAAAATATGTTACAATATACTTATTAAATCCGGTCCAGTCGGGCACTGGGTAAAGAAACCGGATCAATGGTTACTGGTTCCCAAGTTGAATCGGTGGATTATTAAAATAATGTTTATAAATATAAAATAGTATTTCTTGCACATAGTTTAACAAATTTTCTCTCTTTCTTTTTTTTTTGTTTCTTGATTAATTAATTACTAGCATGTCATCATGTGAAATATTCTTATTGTTCAAGGTATATTGCTATTTTGCTTCATTTTTTAAATGTTTTAACAAACATATTATGCACGTACAGAATCTATTATTATTTGGAAATGTACTAAATATGCTTCAAAATAGTAACATTAGGGATCAAATTTGCTTTTGTCAAAATTTTAGGGACTAAAATTACACCAGGTATCAAATTTATTTTTGCCAAAAATTTAGGGACTTAAATTATATAGGTACCAAACATTAAGGACCAAAATTACATTTCTTGTTATTGACAAATATTTGGTAGCTTTCTAGATATACCCAAAAAAAAGCGAGGCAACGTTTTGTATAATTTTGGTAAATTTACTATAATCAATATTGATAAGTGTTTATTATATATGGTTATTAGCAGTATTTTGTACTTTTTTTTTGTACAAGTTAGGAGTTTTTAAGATATAACTTCCTTTCTAAGTTTCTAAATTTTGTAAGTTTCGTTTAAGTAATTTAATGTGCAAACTTGGTTATATTTGTAGGTTTTGAGGAGAGTTATCAATGGTGGATCGAGATGGATTCAATTTGAACTCATCAGTGCTTAATTCAACGGCAATTTGGAAAGTAGAAGGGCATCAAATGCAAGTATTATTGGTGAAATACATGAGCAAACACTTGGACATCTTGCCTATGATAATAGTGATCAATTGAAGCAGAAAAGAAGCAAGAAAATAAACCAAACGAGAAAACACGACCTCAAATATGCGGGCTCAGGTCGCGTATTCTGAGGTCATGTATTGTACTCTGTCTCTCTACAACTATTTTTGCAACTTGCGCTATTTTTACACTACTTTCCAACTCAATTCTAGCTCAGAATTTCGATTGCATATGCTCAAGATTCCTTAAGAAAGAGAAAAAGAGCTTTATGTCATATCATGAACCACTTTTTGACTCTCCTAACATGATATATGTGAAAATCATTGAAGAAAGAGGGAGTTAGTATCTTGGAGAGAGTTGTTATCAGATTTTAGTTGAAGAGTTAAGTTTTAGTCTGTTATTACTCTCTCTAGTTAGGAACTTGTAAGAAAAACTTGGAGAATTTATTGTACCACTCATTTTTGTTGAAGAAATGGAAGATTTGGGAGCTTGTTCATCATCTTGGCTAAACTTTCTGTCTTTCTCTTTACTTGTGATTCATTATGTGTGCATGCAACTAACTTATGTTTTTTCTTGTTTTATATCATGCGAGTAGCTAAATTTCTAGATTTAGGGAGTAGATGAAATTTATGGCTATTTGATATGAGTTGAATATGATTTATGCTTGCTACCTCTTGTTTTGACTTGTTCATTTATGCATACTTATTACTTGTTATTGCTTGATCATCAATAGCAAGTTTTAGTTGTTACTATTCAATGAAAATTGATAATAATGATGAAACAATATGAATGAAGCTTAAGGAGTAGACTCATGAGAATAGAGATGCCCTTAAGTGGATTGTTTTTGCATTTGATGAAGAGTAGATCTAGTTATTTACCATGAGAATAGGGAAAACTAGACTAATCTAGGCCATTATATCATGAAAGTGAGTTTTGGTAAATATAAAAATGAATACCTAGATAAACAACAGTAGTAGCAAGAGATAAATCTATTCTCTTGCATCTTTTGTGTCATAATTGGACTCTATTTCTCTAGACTCAAGTATTTAGTAACATTTCTCCATTGTTATCTTGCAAGTGTTAGAGTTAAGTTAGGTTATTAATAAGTATTGTGATTTCTATTGCTTTATTTAGTAGTTAGTCTAAATAATAGAATAAGCAAGCACCTAGTACTTGCGTTAGTTGTTCCTTATGAGATTGACCCGATATATGCCCTAAACTACTATTTGATTTGTATAGTGGCAGTCAAACGGATGTATTTTGGATTTAAAACTTGCATTTATATCGAGAACATGTCAAATATGATGGCACAAAGAATGCGCCCAATTTTCAAATATCTGATACGAATCATGCAATTTAGGTTGCTTTCGCCTTCTTCCAAATAGGTCATTTGCTACCAAGTATTTGTTGGAATTCTAGGGATTTTACGAGAGGTTTAGCAATAAGCAAGTGACATAAATAAATAAATTAATCAATTTATAGGAAAGAGAACTTAAGAAAAAATAAGGGGTGCAAATACAAAGCAACATTAAAAATTTCTACACTTTCCAAGTTTAAAAGTAATTTTTTAAAAATTGAAGGGGCTTGGGGGCAATTAGCCGCTAAACTACATCTGGCTTCGTCATGGCTTGGTTGAATCTTGTTAATTTTCTAACTTATTGCCTTCTTCCAGTTTTGCTTTTAGTTTTCTAGTAACCTCGTCTGACATATATATTTTTTCTCCTCAATTTTCTGACCTTTTGTTTGCTTTTAACATATTTTTCTAACTTTCCCTGTAGAAGTTACTTTCTATGCAATGACCCTTAAGAAAAATTAGACTCGCTTGGATACTAAAGTGTTCGACTTGATTATATTCATTTACATCCCTAATTGATCCCACTTGAAGCAATGTAGCTCCGCTTGTACAATTTGTTGACTATTACATGTGCATCAATGGAATTGAAAAATCATAATATGTGTTTTTTTTTCCACACTTTGTATGTCATGTTTTGTTTAGGATGATAATATGTTGCCAAAAGATGTGTACCGTCAGTTCCTCTTGTAATTTGAAGTCTGTGAAGCAGGATTTGAATCTCAATAATCAAATGAGATTGTGGGAAATTAAATAAAACCAAACCTTAACCAGACGGTTAGGCCAACCACGAAGGCACCCTTAATATTCTCCTTTGAACCCCGGCCCAAGGAGCCACCCTTAAGGCGCTCCTTTAAATCCTGCTTGGTACCTGAGTTCTTCTTTTTCATGAACCCAAGTAGTAAAAATGTCAGTGTGCAAAATAATTAACTTATTTCGGAGAAGAATAACTATTATTTTCATGCTATTTAGCTTTTTCAGACACAGAGCTAAGAGGACTCTAAGAGGTCTCCTCTAACCATTGGAGTCGACCCCAGTAATTAGTTGGGAATTTCATACTACTTTTAGTTAAACATTGTACACGTAATTCCTTGAGTTTTGGGAATATTTTCCAATTAATTTTCCCAAAAATGTAATGAAGAAAATTAGAGCAAATTCAATCCCCTAGTATTTAAAAAAGAAACAAAAAAGAGAAGTAAAGAAAGAGCTCTTTTGAAAATACGAATATCACTTATCCTGAAAACTCACAAGGAATGAACAGGAGGATAAAAAAATTAGGTTGGACTGCTGAAGCAAGCAGCTCCATTCGTACCAATGCAATCACATCATCACCCTCTTCACTTGCACGGTAAAATTCGTACTCTTCGTTGAGTTGTGAATTAGGGCACCTCAGTAAAAGATGGAAGAGCAGTAAAAAGGTGTTGAAGGAAAGACGAAAGAGTGGTAAAGATTTCACAAGAACAGTATTCGTGTGGTCCGGAATTATTGCAAATTTGGAAGCCAAGAAACATAGAGGAGATAAACTTGCCGCAATCTTTGTCTTTAAAAAGGCCAACTCTCTACCAGCCGCTCTCTAAATCCAACCCGTGAAATCCTAACGAGCTCCACAAGTTTATCAAGAATCCTTTTCAGTTGCTCGTCAGTCCGTGGTAACCGTACTTGAGCAGCTAGCCAGTCCAAGTATATAAACTGCAACAACATCCGCAAAGCTAACATTACTTTTGCATATGCACGTATTCTTTCCTCCACCTCTCAAAAAAATTTCTTTAGTGAGCAAACTCCTTCCCCGCTCATTCTTTAGCTTCTCTCATGGGAGAGGCCAAATGGTGTCTCACCCTTTTTTTTTTCATTTTATCTTTGTATTCATAACAATGTTTCTTGCGAGAGTTTATCCTCTATTAGAATTTTCCTAGTGAGAGTTCTCATATTTAATTTTTTTTATTTTGTGAGAGTTTTTATTTTTATTCCTCTTTTTTTTTATTTTTTTATTTTTGCTTTGCTCTTGTTAGAGCCAGCTTCAGTCTCAAATCAATTTGGTTAAATTTAAACTTCCTCGGGGAGCTTGAAAGTGGTACCTATTAGATCTGTTTGTAGAGAACATGCACACATTAGCTAATGGAGATGTAAAGATTTATCTGTATTTTAAATAAATTTCATAATCACCAATATTATCTTTTCATTGATTTTCTCTCCCTTCTGTATGTTGCATTTTTTAATGTATTTACTGCCATTAGAGCAATTTTATCTAAATGATTGAAACTCTTTTGTTTATTAGGAAAAATATGCAAATACAAACATGCACATAATTAGTTATATGAATGGGTTATATTTGCTTTAGTATTAACTTGACACAGCTTATACAAATTATAACTATAGTTATAGTAAAACCTCTATTAAATAATAATTTTCCAAATCCCAATTTAGGCTAATGAGTTAAATTAATAATTTGATAAAATAATATTATAATAAAAT